AGGGTTTAGGGCTTAGGGTCTAGCATTGGGGCTGTGAGGTTTCGGGGCCCAATGCCTGTAACTGAGAGCCCTCACTCCTACTATCCCGCCCGCAGGTATGGAATTGTTGTTTCGTTTGGACCCTTAGGGCAAAAGTCAACACCAATGATCTGGACGTTACGCTCTGTTGATTCCGGGGTTTGGGCCTACAAAGCTCGCTATGCTACGCCTCGGTCTATCAGAACCGGCAGTTGCCGAATGTACAGCCATGAATATGCTTTGTGAAGCCCCGGAATAAACATGTAGTCTGCGTTTGCTGGGTGAGGCCTTAAACCGTAAGACATATTTCAACTGCAGTATATCCTGAATCTTAAATCCTTAGACTAGACCCTCAACTCCTGTACCCGAACTCCCAGAGCCCCCCAAACCCTGAAACGCTAATCCGTACTTAGGAGGTTCCGGGGACATAGTAGGCAGGATGCTGAGTACCAACTAGAGTACCAAGAGCTAGCAATGTAAGTCCCTGATTCGGGGTCTGAACGATCCCCACTAGAGTACCTAGGGTAACCAGACTGTAGTTGCTAAGCCTTAACTTAACCCTGCAAGCTAAGCCCCTCACCCCTTGAGCAAAGCCTCACAGCCGTTTGAAAGGCGCTTTGAAAAAGCCAAGGCACTCGGTAAGCCAGGCAGGCGAACGTTGCAGAACCACTTCCCATCACCTGGCGGTCTACAGGTGGGTAAGAGTTTCCTTAAGCAAGGCTCGAAGAAGGCTTTGAATGGCTTCTATAGTGCTATAGCGTTAAAACCTGCGCGGGAAGCATACATAGGGATTAAGGTTGTAAGGATACTTGGTTGATTTCAGTTGCAGAACTACTTCCCATCCCCTGCTGAATGGCTCGTGTGTAGGCAAGGGCTTGGGATCTGTGTACAGGGTGTTTTGGGTGCAGGGTGTGCTCCTCAACCGTAAACCCCGAAACACTCCAACAAGCCCCCCCCCCCCCCCACTTTAGGTTTCCGAGGCATGGGGTATCGGGCCTATAGACCCTACGCCTCGGAAACCTGAACTCGGAAACTTCCCCAAGCCCCAAACCCCAACAACCCGAACGCTGACCTCCTTGAACTCTCTACCGAAACGTCCCGAACCCCTGAAGGCTACATCCCCGCCCCACACTCGCCTCCCCAAACTCCCCAGATTCCACAAACCCCAACCCGAACCTCGGCACTTCATCACGCTGCCGGGGCTGTGGATGCCACAGTAACGGCAGTAGTGCTCTGGCAACTCCTTCAGGCTCCAAGCAGGTTTCCAAAAGGAGTAAATGCAGGTTGTAAAGCACGGCATATTGTCTTACCAGTCATTTAAGGGTTTTTAGGTTCTATAGAAACTGTGTCAGGGCTCTTGGGAGGTCAAAACCAGAGTGTTATAAGTTCTTATCAGGCTCTCAGAAAAATATGTAGGGGCCTGAATCATGAGAATGGGGTCTTTGGGAGCATTTGGATATGTGCTTGTATAAGGACTCTTGCAGCGAGAACATGGTCGGGTATGGGAGTATCGGAGGACTTAGTAAGTAGGGCTCGGAAGCAGGTACCCATAGTTAAAGCATGGAATATTGTAACCATGAGTCTGTATGATAACCACAAAGCTAGAAGCTACTGCACGATCCATATAAACCCGAGAATCTACATCCAACACCATCAAAACCTAAAAGCTAAACCCTGAACTCCAACCCCTAATTTCTAAACCCGAAACTCGACACCTAAAGCCAAAATGACCCTGTACCTTCATGCCTTTTCCCGAGTTGGCGTCCTTGATGTCATAGGGAGGCTCAAACTCCTGACACATGCTTCTACACTCAAACAAGGCTCATGGTCCCTATATTGGGTAGCTAGGGCCTGCAGCTAGGGTCTAAATCATGCCAAAGCGTATATGGTCCCCAAAGTAAGTATACTGGGGGGTCTAGCAGAGGCTCAAACTCCTGACACAGGGCGTAGGCCCTGATTTCCACTATGGCTTGCGTCCCGTCTACTTCGGACAGCATCGACACGGAGGTGTTTTTGGCGCAGGGCTTCGGACAAGAGTTAAGAGGAAGCCATAGTCCCCTTCCCATCTGCCAGAACATGAACAGTCTCAACTCGAGGGGGCGACCTGAGCGCAGCCCCTAAACCCTAAACCCTAAACCCTAAACCCTAAACCCTAAACCCTAAACCCTACATCCCAGGTACGGCCAAAGACCTCAGAGCTGAAGAACAGGACCCTCATGGACCTTGGAATTAGGGCTTTGGTGTAATATGGAGTAGACGAGAGATATGAAAAGGGAGCCACAGAACTGGTAGGGCCCCGAGCCCCATAGTACTGAAACCCTTTGCTAGCTTGAGGTCTGAGAAAGCAAGAGAACCGGCTCGCGCAACGCCTAACCACACCTCACAACCATAAATCGGAAAAACGCTAAAACCCTAAATCCAAAATCCTGAAGCCCGAAGGCCCTAAGACCATCCTACAACCACACAGCCCTAAACCCTGTAACCTTCAATCGTCTTCCCCCCAACCCTAAACCCTTAACCCGAAACCCTAAACCCTAAAACCCTAAACCCTGAAAACCTAAAACCCGAAACCCTAGCTGCCCAGGGGGCCTGGTTCAAATCCAGGTCATCAAACTGAAGCTCTGCTGTTGTCTGGTCCAGGAGAGAGACGACGGGCTCCTGTGAAACCCCGGAACCCCTAAACCCTGAACCCTAAACCCTACACCCTAAACCCTAAACCCTACACCCTAAACCCTACACCCTAAACCCTAAACCCTAAACCCCGAGACACCTAAACCCTGAACCCCGAAGGCCCTGAACCCGTAAACCGTGAGACGTGCGCCCTGAACCCCTGAACCCTCAACCCCGAATCCCTAAACCCATAAGCCTGAAGCCTTCAAGCCTAAACCACCCTATAGGCGTTTATAGACCCTGCACCCCTAAACTCCCAAACCCCTAAACCCCTAAACCCTAAACCCCAAAACCCTAAACCCCTACACCCCGAAACCCCAAAACCACAAAACCCCAACACCCTAAACCCCAAAACCCTAAACCCAAGACCCCTAAACCCTCCCGTCGGGGGCTTCGGCTCTGGGCCGGAGCGGGGTACGGGGGAACATAGCGGTTTCGGGTTTTAGGGTTTAGGGTTTGGGGTTTGGGAGTGAGGGTTTAAGGTTTAGGGTTTGGGTTTAGGGTTTCGGATTTAGGGTTTGGGGCTTTGGGTGTATAGGGTAGGGCTTAGGATTTCGGGTTTCGGGCTTTAGGGGTTAGGGTAATTTCTGGCTCAGGGGGATGCGCTTTTCTGATGGCCTTTGGAGCAAGCATCGGGTTCGGGCGTTTCGAAACAGGGTCTAGGGTTTAGGGATTGTGGAGATGGCGGTTTAGGGTTTGGGGTTGGGGGCTTCGGGTTGCCTCTGAAAGCTTCATCGACATGTGTCCCTGAAGAGTAGTAGGGGCCCCCTGAATGGACAGCAATTACGACGACGATGACGACGATTGCACCTGCTGCTGCAACGGCGACTACGCCATCGAAACTTTGATATCAATGTTGCTTAGACCAATTCTACTTGAAACCAAACACCCTAAACCCTAAAGCCATGAACTAATGTAGCGATGCTTATGAATGTAGATCAGTCACCAGTTTTTACTTTAAGCCTAATCCTCGAACTTGGGTGTGCCCTGCAGAGCCCTAGGCCCCTAAACTCCTAACCTGCATACCCTATAAACCCGAAGCCACAAACCCTGGACCCCAAACCCCAAAACCTCGAACCCTATTAAACCCTAAACCCCAAGCCCAAAACCTCTAAACCCTCTAAGCCCATCCACGTCCCCTCGACCTGGCTGAGCTGAGATCGAGGGTCGTCTTGAGTCCCATCCTACCGCGGAGGATTAGACAGACTTGGGATCTTAGGGTTTAGAACGCAGTGTTTGGGATTTGCATAGTGCCTAGAGTTTACGGTTTAGGGCTTCGGGTTTGGAGTTTGGGGGGTTTACGGTGTTCGGAAAGCTTCATTGTCCCCAGTGCCACACAAGAACAAGCTGGTGCTTAGAAAGGAATGCGGGGACGCCTCGCTGAAGTGGTGTTGTGGACTTTGCGTTTAGAGCCCAATTCCCATAGTAAAAACTTGCACGTCGGCAGCAGGCAGACAAGAGGCTCCTTATGACTCCAAGGATACTAAAGCTCACATTTCCCGGGTTCCGTCCCCAAACCCTAAGCCCTGAAACACAGCCGGGCCCAGAAGACCGACTATGTTGAGGAACTGGATATAGAAACCATAACAAGGAACCCGAAAAAGGGTAGGTCTTTTCGGGTAATTACAGGCAGTCCTTAAGTTGCTCAGAGCAGGCTTTTTCATGGGACGGAACTTCGGCAGCTTTCCGGAAACCATCGGGCTGAAAAACAACTAACATAGGGGCCTTATATAATTAAAAATGCGGTTTTGGGGCCCATTATATCACACTTATAATAAGGAACTCCCCTAAATAGTATTCGCTAGATTATAAGAAGGAACCCAGAGGAAGAATACTATTGGTAGTTAATTAGGCTTCTATAATATAACTCTCAACCTCAGAGCCCCCGACCTGAAATATTAATTCAAGGAAACTACAGGTGGGGAGTTTAGGGTATATAGGGCTTCTATGAGGCTTCTATAAGGTATATAGACCTTCTATAAGGTTCCTATAACGGTAACTGCCCACCTGAAAATGTCCTAGAATTAAGTCACTAAGCCCCCCTAAAGAAGCTAAGTCTCCAAACCCAAAGCCTCAAACTCCGAGACTCGAAAACTTTACACCCCTTAGAAGCCCATGTATTCCAGCACCCTTATATCTATATATTATATATACAGATATTTGTATATATATATATAGATAGATAGATATTATAGCCCCAAAGTATATATACATATGTAGCCCCAACGAAACCCCCACAAGTACTACATAAAAACCTAAATAAAGCAAACTCTTTCAAAGCCCCAGAGACCCAAAAATGAAACGCAGCGAAGATGGGGCCGGCCTGTGTGCCCTGCGTGGTGTCGTAAGGGTTATCCTGCGTGTTCTGGCTCAAGCCATCAAACCTTCGAGATTGTGGGTTAATAGGTTTAGGGCTTCAGGGGTCTGAGGATTTCGGATTCGGGGGTTGGAGGAGGGTTGGGGGGCTTCAGGGGTTGAGGGTTAATATTTGGGGCTTTATGGGTTCTATGGGTTTTGGGGCTTATGGGCTTAGGTGCTTAGCTTCAGGGGTGGTTTTCTGGTGCACTTCAAGGCTCCGGGGACTTGGCAAGTGGGGCGTTAGGTAAGGGAACCTCAGGCTTGTGTTTACTAAGTCACTAAGTCACCTCTCAGTCTTGATCCAGTGCAAGGCTTCAGCCTTCTGGCTGAAGGCTTCGCGTTCAGAGTTTAGGGCTCTTGCTGGAGTTAAGGTGTCTACTTGGGTGGTTGTCAAAATTAGGGTCCCGCTTAGGGTCCTTATTATAATACGGCACCTAATATTTAAGGTACCCAAAAAGGGACCATAATTTTGACAACCACCCACTTGTTGAGGTGCAAAGGTGGATGCGCCGTAGCTCTAGCTTACCCTAAACCCTAACCCCTAAACCCAAACCCCTAAACCCTAAACCCTAAACCCTATACCCAAACCCCTAAACCCTAA